ATCTTCCTGCTAGCAGATTTGCCTCACAGATGACCCCCATTCAAATCAATCCAGCAGATAAAATATTTCTAGGAGTTGGAGAAGCTCCCTGCTTTTTTGCTTCATATCTTATAGCCCACAGAAGGTAGTTTTATATATATAAAAAAGTACAGCATCACAAATGTTATAAGGTTAGATAGGAGGTGCTGTTTTTCTGTTGCAGTCCTGATGGAGGCATTTCTGTTGTGAAATGGCTTTCCCATGAAGATGAGGGACCCTCTCTACTGGTTTTTAGGAAATTTTAAAGCCTGAACTGTTCCAGATAGCTGTTTCCTGAGTTGAGACTGATATTGTTATCTTCAGTTTTATGTACTATCATGTGCTTATTGTATTATGTTGCACTGTGCACTGTATTATGTTGCACTGTGCACATTCTAAATCGTATCTTTTTTTTTGTAATCTGCTGAAAGTCATTTTGATTGCAGCAGCATGGAAATATGCTTCATAAATAAAATGCCTAAGCATCGTTGTACAGATTCGGTTTTCACAGGTGCCCAGATCTCATCAGTTAATTGATGGAACAATCAACCATTTGCAGCAACATATGAAAGTGTTACAAACACGTTTAGTCTGATATCTGTAACTTCTTGGAAGGAAGTACTTTGTTGATACATATTAAAATCAAAAGGGAATTTTGCTAATGGCTGCATAGGCTGGCAATTATTGGAGTTGCAGTATCAGATAATTGGGAAACAACAGATTGGGGAAATCTGAGATTAGTTTGTATTTTCTGAAAAGGTCGAATCAGTAGCTCACAACTGACATCACTGATTCATATCTTTTCATTCTTATTCAGCTTCCTTACTTTTAGAACATTGTCCTTATTAGCTGCTCCAGGGACTTATTGCCGTCCCTAGTGATTGCCTTGCATTTGAGCAAATTTGAAAGAGCTGGATAAATACTAGAACTTCAGGAAGCATTAGTATAGCCTTGATTTCCAAATTGTGGGGAATAATTGTCCCACGTTATATAAAAGTAGGCAGTATCTAATATGCTAAATCTGGACTCCAGGTATTTTAAAAAAAACCTGAATACAGACTAGAACTGGGTCAGAAGAAGGCAACGGAATAGGACTAGAGGACAAGTCCTAATAAGGATCTGGGGAAAGAAGGCTGAGAAGGGACATGATAGCACTCTTTGAGTTCTGGAAAACTATCTTATAGAAAAGGACACTGTGATTTTTCTGCAGGACTAGATTTTTAAGTTACAGGAGGACAGATTTTGTACATTGGAAGAAACTTCTTGATGATAAGAGCACTTTAGGAAATGAACAATTATTCAGAGGAGGGTACTCTTGTTTGTTCAAGCTATTGCTCTGGCTTTTGCACATGAAACCGATGATTGGACTCAGTGACCTAACAAAGAGGTCTTCTGAGTTTGATTTTGTAAGCCTGGTCCTGAAGTAGATAAGGGAAACGATTGACGTACTGGTTACATAAGGACACACAGGCAACTGTTTCCAGGGAAAGAGGAAAATGTGGTAGATAATTAGTCCAAAGGCTATAATTCAAAAGATAAGAGTATTTTTTAAGAACTGGTTGATATTTTAAGCAGAAGCCAACCTGTTCAGGCATCTATATTGAGGACTATTTAATTTTCTTTTGCATTACCATATAAAAATGTTTTATTCTCTTGGTATTATTCCATCCTGCCTCCTCTTCCCAAAAAGCTTAATGGAATGAATGAAATCAGCAAATGCACTACTAGAAAAGAAGAACATTTATCTTACTTGTCTGCTTTTGCATTGTTCTTTGAAGAGGCTTCATTTTTCCCACCAAAACTCCTGCAAAAAGCAATACATTTTTATCACTGGGAGCAAGATTAACTGTCCAGTTCTGTTCAGAGTCCATCCCACTGATAATATTCTTCCAAATATAGTCTGCAGCTTTTTGTGTGTGTTAGATTTCAATAAGAGTATTATCTTTAAGAGAACTATTTGAAAAGCCGTGAAATATAAAAACAAGGTGGGTTTTATTCAGAATGAGCTTTACATTTAATCAAAAGCTTGTTTCGGTATGTTTTTTCAAAAGAGAGTGGTATTCAGAACCAGGGTTAGCATATATGGCATGCTGATTATTGATGGAAGTTGAGCACAGTAGAAAACCCGGCAGGAGTGGGAAAGAAGTGAGGGGTTGTATAAATCTCTAAAAGGATACTTTGCTTTGGTGAAGTTTCAGTCAAAGCACTCTTTTAAAACTGAGCAACAGGGCTCCTGCTTCTAAACAGCAGAGCAGAATAGCTGCTTCATTGGAGACAGTGGGTTGAAGCAAGGGCATACACATATGGAAGGGTATTTCTAGCTAAGGGAAGCACTAGAATAGGCCATTTCTAGCTAAGGGAAGTACTAGAATAGGCCATTTCTAGCTAAGGGAAGTACTAGAATAGGCCCTTCACATTCCACAAAATGCCTCAATGAAGTCCTCACAAGGTGTGGGACCCAGTATGCTCAGAGGAGCCAAGAGTCCAGCAGAGAGAGCAAAATAGCTTAGAATAAAAATGTTGAGAGGTGAGCTTGCTCACCAACCAGGGGATGTAATGAGGGGATAAGGAGGGAGGGGAGGCAGAGAAAATGAGCTGGGGGGTCCTAAGAAATAGCCAGAGTAGATGCCATCTGGAAGAACAGAAGCTCCACATCCAACATATTTTGCAGGCCTCACTTCTACACCCTTCTAGAGATCTGACTTACTTTGCTTTGTTGATGTCATTATCTGTTGGGAAAAAAAAACACATGGGAGTTAATGTGGAAGTTAAATCTTTAGCAAGATATTTTTCTTCCTCCTACCAATTGCTATATCCATATAGTTGCTTTTTCCTTTCTTCACTACATTGATATTTTAGTTATGCAATGCAGTGCTTGATTAAGGATTCCGCTGACTTTGAGTTCATAACTTTTATAGAAATTCAAAATAGACCAAATTGAAACATCTTCAGTTTTGGTTCTGTTTCTCTAAACTGGTTCCTTATGCATGATGAAGAATAACAAAGATTTTAGTTTTGATCTTTGTCTTTTTAAGAGAAGTAGGAGGAAAACTACTTCTTCTTCCTCAAGTAGGAGGAAAACTATTTCTTGCTCAAGGAAAAAAAACAGCCCAGTTGCCTTTTGAACAAGCACTTTTGAAATAGGAGGAAAACTAGTTTTCTACATTTAACTAATTCAAAAATCCTTGTCTGACACCTCCTCAAACCCCTTATGCTTTCAGTTATCTTGCCATTACCTACTCAAACATCTAACTCTGCCCATTTTATAAAGCATTCATTTTAGATTTTAGATTTCCACTCTGCTTTTCTGCATTTTTAAAAAAATAATCATGCTGACTTAACAGTGAGTAAAAAAAATGAGAACATTAATACAGTTAAAATTGGAGTTGAAATTAAACATTAAAATGCATTAACTATTAAACATTTGGTAGAAGAGATGTTTTTTTTCTATCTTCCTGGATATTGGTCCAAACACAGCTTCCCAGGGAGTGTGTCCTTCCATCTGAGAACTTCTCAGGAGAAGGCCCCTTCTAGTATAACAGGCAAGCAGGGTTTTGGCGGTGGAGATGAGAGTCCTCAAAAAGGCCTTTTCTGACTGCATGGGTGCGGTCAGTCTTTCTTCCTGCCGGTTTCAAGGGCTACTTTGGATCAAGTGGGTCAGCTACAAAGTTTCGCCCTTTGGCCAGTCGCCTTTACAGGGCGACTTTTGGTCCTATTGGACCCCCCCAGCTGGTAGAAATCGGGCTTGGGGAATGGAGCTTCATTCCCCTGCGCCCGTGTTGCCACAACATCACCAGAAACTCTCCTAAGGTAACTTAGCAGGTAGATAATTAATAGCTGGACTCCAACTCATTAAGAGCTTTAAAGATAATACTCACACCTTTAAGGCTAGATGTTTGATAAAGATAATGGCACTTTAAAAAAAACAGTCATTATACTACATGTCACTTTGAATATATCCTGCACAGCAATTAAATGGCTACTGCAATTTACATGTATACATTTATGTGAATATGTGAAAATGTGCAAGACTTTGGATTTAAAGGGAAAAATATGCTTCAGAAGGCATGGACTTTTCATGCAAGACATGGAATTGCCCTTTTGGGAGAAGACACAACTTTAAAAGCTACTGAGAGGGGTTTTTTTTTTTAGGTTTTAGTAAAATTAGTGGATCAGTTTTGTTGTTTTCCTTTATGCGAGCACGATTTTATCCCCGAAAGCTGTTGAAGACTATTATTAATGCCAAAAGTTAGCAATTAGCTCTTTCGGGATCCTTCAATTCAACAAACATTTGTTTAAATAGACAAAAAGGGACAAGATCTGATTTATATCCCTGTGAATTAGGATCTATTTTAATGGTACTTTAGTATAGCAAAGTAAAAACAACATAGTAGAGAAAACATTATAATAAAAAAATGACCATATAATAAACCATAACCAAGGAATGATATGAACAAATCATGTTTACTAATTTAATCTATGAAGTCAAGAAGTGTTCCAAGTACAAATGCTTACGTGACTCATTTGATTCAAAGGCCAAATTGTCTTCTCCAATTCTCTTAATACTGCACAAAGTAACTGGTTCAGGCATGATCCACTCCTTTCAATTCCTAAAAAAAATCCAATAGATTGTGATTCCACAAGCACGGAAAACAAACCTTCACCCTCAATTGTGATTCTGTTGTGGGCTAACATCAAACCATACAATGATCTTAATAATAATAATAATAATAATAATAATAATAATAATAATAATAATAATAATAATAATAATGATGATGATGATGATGATGATGATGATGATGATGATGATGATGATGATGATGATGTTGGAAGGGACCTTGGAGGTCATTTAGTCCAACCCCCTGCTCAGGCAGGAAACCCTATACCATTACAGATAAATGGCTGTCCAGTCTCTTCTTAAAAACTTCACATGTTGGAGCATTCACCGCTTCTGGAGGCAGGTTGTTCCACTGGTTAATTGTTCTAACTGTCAGGAAGTTTCTCTTTAGTTCTAGGTCAGTGGTGGCAAACCTATGGCACGGGTACCAGAGGCGGCACTCAGAGCCCTCTCTGTGGGCACGCATGCCATCGCCCCAGTCCTGGGCCTTCAGCTGGGTTTTATAAAACCTTTTCCCTTTAGGCCTCCACTGCCGTGTACAAAAAAAAAAGGTTCAATCAATCAGTCAATTTCAACCTCGCGGAAAAAAAAGATCTTGCAAAGTTGCAATTGATTGATTAAACTTTTTAGTCTCACCCAGTCTGCCGTTACCACCGCAGCCATGCCCACCAAATGGGCCACACCCACCCAATGGGCCACTCCCACCCGGCACCCAATGATGCATAAGTGGGTTTTGGGTTGCAGTTTGGGCACTCGGTCTCTAAAAGGTTCGCCATCACTGTTCTAGGTTGCTTCTCTCCTTGATCAGTTTCCATCTGTTGCTTCTTGTCCTGCCTTCAGGCGCTTTGGAAAATAGCTTGACTCCCTCTTCTTTGTGGCAGCCCGAGATATTGGAACACTGCTATCATGTCCCCCCTCATCATTCTCTTCGTTAAACTAGACATACCCAATTCCAGCAGCCGTTCCTTATATGTTTTAGCCTCCAGTCCCCTAATCATCTTTGTTGCTCTTCTCTGTACTCTTTCTAGAGTCTCAACATCTTTTTTACATCGTGATAACCAAAACTGGATGCAGTATTCCAAGTGTGGCCTTACCAAGGCATTGTAAAGTGGTATTAATACTTCATGTGATCTTGATTCTATCCCTCTGTTAATGCAGCCTAGCACTGTGTTGGCTTTTTTGGCAGCTGCAGCACACTGCTGGCTCATATTTAAGTGATTGTCCACTAGGACTCCCAAGATCCCTCTCACAGTTACTACTATTGAGCAAGATACCACCTATACTATACCTTACATTTGGTTTTTCTTGCCTAAATGTAGAACTTTACTTTTTTCAGCGTTGAATTTCATTTTGTTAGATAGCGCCCAGTATTCCAGTTTGTTCAGATCCTCCTGTATCTTAAGTCCATCTTCTGGAGTGTTGGCTATTCCTGCCAGCTTGGGTAACCCTAATAGGTTTCTTGCTGCTATGTCAGCCGTTTATTTATTAAATAATAATAATAATCCAAGCCTGTTGGTGGGTTGAATCTCATAATAAAACATCCACAGTATAAATAAGTTTAATAACAATATTTAATAACTGAAGTATGGATAATAAAACCAACTTATCAAAAAGCAGTAAAATAGGTGACATATACAACTGAATGGAATTAAACAGCTCTGTTTTTGTAGTTTTCTGAAACTAACAAGGTAGGAGCTGATTAGATTTCAGGGTAGAAAGTTTCATAGCATCACTATTACTACCAAAAAGCCACATCTGCAGTCTTCCATCCCCATTATCACCCAGAAATGGGGGACTATTAATAGATTTTCCCAGGAGCAGTAGATGAACATGAGTGGAGGAGATGTTACTGGAGATATCTCAGGACACAAAGGGTAATGTACTCATCTTGGCAAGTTTCTGGCAACAATTAGGCAACTGCATTCTATACTAATTGACACTTCCAAGCTGTCTTCAGTTTCAGGCGTATGGTGATAAGTTGTGAGTCATTGTTGTGAGATCCTCTCATCCCAGGTAGTGCTGCAACCGTCATGCAAGTCAAAGCCAGGCAAAGCCCCCCTCAATTTGCCTATCCAATAGCATCTGTAAGTACTAACCCCATCAAATGAAGATATCAGGAATTCACGACGAACAAACAATAACTTCAACTTCTCAGAGTTCACTCTCACCCCCCCAAACTTCTCAGAGTTCACTCTCACCCCCCCAAACCAGTTCCCCACACTACATTGGGGTCAAGACGTTGACAGTATCATCTGTGTGGTCCAGGGTGGTAATGTACAATTATGTTTGTACATCACCAAACTCCAAATCATTGGACGATCACTTCCAGCAGTTTTAGGTAAATGTCGGAGACCATTGAAAAAAAGTGACCATCACTTTCAATCAGCATTTAATAAAAACAAAAATTAAACTGTTTAGAAATAGAATTGATATTTAANGTTGACAGTATCATCTGTGTGGTCCAGGGTGGTAATGTACAATTATGTTTGTACATCACCAAACTCCAAATCATTGGACGATCACTTCCAGCAGTTTTAGGTAAATGTCGGAGACCATTGAAAAAAAGTGACCATCACTTTCAATCAGCATTTAATAAAAACAAAAATTAAACTGTTTAGAAATAGAATTGATATTTAACTATACCAAGGAAGAAATTAGCAATTTGTAGCCTACTCTGCCTCTATACATTTTCATATATGTTTAAAATAATTGTCTCCTTTCAATGGTCATACATGCACATGCATCCTGTATTTCCAATATTCTAAGAAGTAAATGACTAACATCTGATAAAATGTACTGGAAGAAGTCCATCACTAACTCACTTTAAGTAGTCCTTGCTAATATACCACAATCTTTACTCATTAGCCCATCTTAAAATAGTGATAAATAAATTGCTGCTTTAAACAACTCCCACAAACCCTTGCTGTTTGTCATCATGACCAGCTTCATGGGAACTATAATTCAAAACATCTGGAACAGAACAAGTTACCTATCCCTGCCTTAATGGAATTGAACCATTGTGGCAGTCCAATAGTTTGCCAACATATTGCTATAATATCCTATCTTTCCCTGCTATTTACTTTGTATTTTAGGACTGGCCTGTTTTATGCACAGTGGTAAGATTTACCCACAATACAAAGGCCAGATGTTGTATTAAATCAACCCAATGCTACAAAAGGACTTTGTTAAATAGGGGAACTGAACATCTTTTTGTCCAAGGTGTTCCTATTTATTTTATTTTATTTATTTTACAAAATTTATATATCAGCTCCATTCTGTAGGTCACCCTGTCCTGATGCTGACCTTTTGTTTGTTTGTTTTTCTGTAAAACTGTTTTGGCAAGAGAAAGCACCTCTGTCTCTGAGAGCAGATGCTAATTAGAGTAAGACTCAATCCAAATTTAAAGACTGATTTCCATTCTGTTTTTGCTGGTTCTCCTTTTTCTTTGAATAGAATAGAACTGGAAGGGACCTTGGAGGTCTTCTAGTCCAGCCCCCTGCTCAAGCAGGAGAACCTATACCAGTGGTGGCGAACCTATGGCACGCGTGCCAGAGGTGGCACTCGGAGCCCTCTCTGTGGGCACACGTGCCATGCCCCGGAGATGGCAACCGTCCTCTTCAACCAGCCACCCGCTAACTTGCCGAGATCCAACGTGGCCGGATGCATCCCAGCACCCATGCGCTTGCTGGCCTTTATGTGCGGGGGCCGATGGGTGTCAGGCAGCAGCCACCCTGGCCCCTGCCTCGCCTTGCCCTGCGACACAGCACCCCCGTCCTGCCTCACCTCACCCCGCAGACCCAGCCTCCTGCCCACCACCCCACCCGCCAGAGAGCCCTGGATCTCCCCCAACCCTGCCTGGCCCCCACAGGCGTCCCTCCCCAGGAGCAACATCGAGCTGGCCATGCCCACCCATCTGCCATGCCCACCCAGCGGGCCACACCCACCCGGCACTCAGCAATACAGAAGTGGGTTTTGGGTTGAAGTTTTGGGCACTCGGTCTCTAAAAGGTTCGCCATCACTGACCTATACCATCTCAGACAAATGGCTGTCCAGTCTCTTCTTAAAAACCTCCAGTGATGGAGCGCCCACGATTTCTGAGGGCAAGCTGTTCCACTTTTTCAGCCAGTATTCCAGAGTCCCTCAACATGCTTGGTTTATTCAACTGCTGGTTTATTCAGCTAGAAAGAAAAGTGGAGGCTTGCTCTTTATCCCATAAAATTGGCTTTCTAGAGGCTTAGCTTTTCAAAACAAGTGAAGGAATGCCTTGGAGACTGTCCAACGCAGAGCCCTCAAAGCAGGCTGATCAAATTAATTCTTCAATTTCTGGAGTATGATTTGGAAAAACAGAGCACACTGGAATGATTTATGATTCAATGATTTATGATTCAAACTTGAGATTGCAATGTTTGGTGGGAGACACATTGTGCAAAGAGGAGTAAAACTCCCAGCATTCCAAGATGGTGCTCTTGAAATCTGGCTGCAAAAGAGCTGATTTCATGACATGGGAAACTTTTTCAAGGTGGAAAACAAGAATAATTTGTGTCCCAAAGGCTTTCTGCTTATCCTCCCACTCTTAAAACGATGATACAGTTTCAATTGTAAACAAAACAGTTTTATCCTCCCTGACAGTCATCACCCTTCAAGAGAGAGTCATCACCCTTCAAGAGACGTTACCTACAGTTTCCATTTGGCAAGGAGAATATATCTTAGTATCCCAGTCATAGGACCTTAAGCCACTTCTCCTTTCTTTTAAAAAAAGTTTTTATAATTTTAAGTAGGCTCTATGGATACAATTTCTCTAGCATATTATTGTTGAAAATATTGTCCCTCCTAACAGTATTATACTGGAACTATTCTGGTCCTCTCTTTTGGTAATAGTGACTCAAATTTCACCCAAGATGGAGTAAAATGCCTAATTTGAGTCCAGCTGGAATAGTCTCAGGCCTTCCAAAATACTAATTTCTGTTTTT